CATGCACGTACATACACATGCATACACATACATACACATACATGCACATACATGTTTTCTATATATATATATATATGTGTGTACATGATAATACATGTGCATGTTTGAGTGCGATCAAACCCGCGCCCAGATAGCATTCCTACTTGAGTGCCGGCAAGGTATGCAAGTTACACATTTTTTCATCTACCGGATATTTCGGCAAATTCAAAGCAAGGAAATGAGATCCTTACTTCCCTTAACATAAGGAAATAAAAAAAACATATGATTTGACCTAATCGATGTTTCGGGAAATTGAAAGCAAGAAAGTAAAATCCTTATTTCCCCTATAAGTCAAGAAAAGACATATTGTTTTGAACTACTCAATGTTACGGGAAAGAAGGGAAATAAGACCCTGATTTCCCTTAATCTACGTAAAGAAAAGACACCATAATGATTAGTTGAACTATATATTCCATGCGTCGGGAAATGAAAGTAAGAAAATAAGAGCTTTATTTCTTCAAATATAAATCAAGAAAAAACGCATGTTATTTGAACTACTCAATGCTGCCTGCCGAAAATGAAAGAACGGAAATAAGGTCATTATTTCCCCTCATACAAGCAGAGAGAAGCCACATAATATGTGCACTACGCGATGTTTCGGGAAATGGAAGGGAAATAAGATCCTCATTTCCCTTAATATAGGTCAAGAAAGAACAGATATCATTTGATTTGCTGGATGTTTCCCGAAAAGAAGGAAGATAAGATCCTTATTTCCCTTGATACAAGACAAAAACACAGATTATTTGAACCACTCCCTGTGCCGGGAAATGGCCGCAAGGAAAAAACATGCCTATTTCTAATATAAGGCAAGAAAAAAACATATTGTTTGAACGACTCCATGGTTCAGGAAATGAAGACAGGAAAATACGATTCTTTTTTCCCCTGACACAAATCAATATTGGATGCTGCCGAAAATGAAAAAAGGGAAATGAGGTCCTTACTTCCCCTCAGGTAAGCAGAGAGAACCCACGTAATATGGGCACTGCGCGGTGTTTCGGGAAATGGAAGGGAAATAAGATCATATAAGATCCTTTTTTCCCTTAATATAGGTCAAGAAAGAACAGATATCATTTGATTTGCTCGATGTTTTTCCCAAAAGAAGGAAGATGAGATCCTGATGGCCCTTGATAAGAGAAGAAAAAACGCGTATTATTTGAACTAGTCCCTGAATCGGGAAATGGACGCAGGGAAATAAAATGCCTATTGCCTATTTCCTAAAATAAGGCAAGAAAAAACATATTGTTTGAACATGTTTGAACGGCTCCATGGTTCCGGAAGTGGAGACCGGAAAATGCGTTCTTATTTCCCCTAATATATAAAAGCAATAGACATATTGTTGAACTACTCCATGTTTCGGGAAGGAAGGAAAATAAGATCTTTCTTTCCCCTTTAAGCCAAGAAAAAGACATAGTGTTTGAACTACTCAGTCTCCATGTTACGGGAAAGAAGGGAAATAAGACCCTTATTTCCCTCAATATACGTAAAGAAAAGACCCACAATGATTAGTTGAACTATTCCATGCTTCGGGAAAGAAGGAAAATAAGATCCTTATTTCCGCTCATATAAGGAGAAAAAAACGTATTTGCAGTACCCGATGTTTCGGGAAATAGAAGAAGGGAAATACGATGCTTATTCCCCACATGGAATTTTAACGAACAGCACATATTATGTCTACTGCTGGATGCTTCAGGAAATAACAAAAAGGAAATAAGATGCTTATTTCCACTAATACAAGTAAAGGAAAACACATATCGTTTGAACTATTTTGAACTACTCGATGCTGCCGAAAATGAAAGAAGGGAAATAAGATCCTGCTTTCCCTACAGAAAAACCATATGATTTGATATATTCGATGCTTCGGAAAATGAAAGAAGGGACTTTTCGACTTTTCGAATTCCACTTTTCAACTTTTCGACTTTTCGGCTTTTTGACTTTTCGAAATTCAATATGAAGCCTTTCCACTTTTCAACTTTTCGAAATTCTTTTTACGTACTTCCGACTGAAAGCGTATGTTTCCAACCCAGGACTTGGGGACCAGGGGGGGCATTACGGAGGGACATGGAGGCATGCAGCAAGATGAGGGTCTACTTTATTGACCTTGGTCTGCCGGGGCAAAACCCAGTAGCTCGAGTGGAAAGGGGCTACCCTTCCACAAGCGAGACAAATCCACGGGCACAAGCAAGGCCGTTGCCTCAAGTCTTGTCATGAAGATCACCAATCAAGATCGTTGTCATCTTGACGACGTTCATTGAGATTGGGAAAAGTAACCGCTGTTGGCAACAGGAGGAACCTATTCTCCACTCAGGAGAAGATCAATTGTTTCACCACATGAGCCGCCGTCAAAATCAATTGTTTATGCCTGGTACAAAAATATAAGTTATCGCTCTTTGGGGGGGGGGCCTATCGCTTTCCAGTGTTTTGTTCAAATCAACACGAAATACAGGCACCCGTGGAAGTCAGGACTAAACACCGCGGGGTCGGTACAACTGCATGGAACGCACCGGTTACGTCGAAGTCAGAAAAGGCGGGACCTGGATCAGAAATCCTATTGGTAACGCTTCAACGCTGGGGCCAAATATCTACATCAAAATGTTACTGGAGATGTTAGTTCCTACTGGAACGCTAATGGAATATTTCTGCTAATTCTATGTCTTCATAGGCTTTTCCTGCATGGAACGCTAATGGAATAATTCTGCTAATTCTAGCGGACAGCCACTTCTCTTTTACTGATGCTTCAGACCTGCCCAAACCACCTGAGCAAATCCCCATGTGAACTCCGTTTCTCAAGACTACTCCTGCCAGAATCTCATGCGCAGTGTGTTTTAATTCATACTGGAACTCCGGATTCACAGGTCAAGTTTGGACAGAAGGGTTGCATATCAAAAACTGTGGTGGACAAGGGTGCATTTATACGAGGTCCGATACGAGGTCTATACGAGGTCAGCAAGCAGCAGCAAGCAGCAGCAAGCAAGCAGCCGGCAAGCAGCGGGCAAGAAGCAGGCAAGAAGAAGCAGTAGCAAGCAGCAGCAGCAAGCAGCAGCAGCAAGCAGCAGCAGCAAGCAGCAGCAAGCAGCAGCAAGCAGCAGCAAGCAGCAGCCAGCAGCAGCCAGCAGCAGCCACAAGCAGCAACCAGCATGTGCCCCCTTGAAAGAATGACCAAATATAAGTATAAGTTTGAAAAATCATGGCAGAAGTGGCTGTCAGGACAGCATCTATATACCATAGTTTCCATTGGTATACCCATGGAAGCTGCTGCAAGATTTAAACGTGCCACTTTCAAGCTGTCATGCAAAACCCAAGCTAAACGCAAAAAGTACCGACTTACCCCAATTGCTTTCCCGCATGGAAATGAACCGTTCAATTGCAAACAGAACCGATTTCCACATCCACCTGTACTGCAAACATGCAAGGGAATTAGCTTCACGGATTCAGATCTAAACTGCCGGGGATGGATTAAGGGCCTTTCGTTGTCTTTGCGGTTGCAACCATGTTGGGGAGCTATCTAAGCACATTCCTAGACTCTTTCCTAAGCAAGGAAATCTGTTACGATCTCATCTCCGAACTAGAAAGACCGTAGTTGATATAGACCAATGGTTCCAAAAAAGAAGCGTTCGTAGCTATGAAGAAGTGCATTAGGCTCCCCAAGTCTGAATACAACGTGGTGGCCTGGTGTCGAGAACCTGTTCACTTTTTGGTTGAGCCCTTCTTCTTCTTGGGATCAAATGAGTCTATCCCTCCTCCGGGGTCCCTTTTTCGACAAAAGGTTATCGCTAGGTTATCGCTAAGGTTATCGCTAAATTGGAACACTTTGACGATCAAGAAAGGAAAGGAAAGACGAACGTAGAACAAAAAGGACAACTGAAAAAACAGAAGGAGAAAGGAAGGAACAAGAAAAGGAAACAAAGGAAGAAGAAACGACAAATCAAACATGGAATAGATGGAATTCAGAACAAGATTCGTAATCAGAGTCGATTTGGTTCAGAATTCAATTGCGTTTAGTTTTAACTGAAAAAAGAAGGAACAAGAAAAAAAGAAAAAGAAAAGGAAACAAAGGAAGACGCAATTCGGATTAAATCTAAACACACAAAGGGCATTCAGAATTAGATTTCAATCTATTGTTTGCTTAATTCAGAATTTGGTTGCGTTCAATTTGGTTTAATTCTACTGCTTTGGGACCTGGGAAGAAAAAAGCAATCTGCCTGCAGAAAGCAATGGCTCAATCACCTTGGACAGCAAATGAAATGGCAACTGCAAGAAACGCGGGCACTGCAGGTTAAATTTTCATCAATTTTGCCCACAGATGGTTACAAGTTATCGCTTTTTGGGAGGGGCCCTATCGCTTTACATGGTTTGGTGCATTTTCTCAGCACGATTGGACCCTCCCTTACTAAAGTAATCTACGCTTATTTTGACCGTATCTCACATGAAGTAATGCGGCTTTTTGAAGGGCAGGATGGTGGGTGTCATGCCCGCATGATAAATACGCAATAAAGTCACAAACGCTGAGGAGGGTTCATACTTTGCGCGCACACCCACACGCACACGCACACACACACACACACTCACTCACTTGACCCGTCACGGTCCTTGATGGTCCTTGTATTGTTTCACCACAGAAACCCACCACGATCAATATGATCAATGCAGAACCCATCTTACAAATGAATCTGCCAAAAAAATCACCAAATCCCCAAAACCCTGCACAATCGAAAGACATGCTTCCCGAAGTTCAAGACAGGTCAGACAGGTCGGTACGGATCGGGCGGATCAAGCACACCAAATTGCAAACAAGTGTGCATGTAAGCCACAGGTAGAAGCGGCACGGTAAATGATGGTAAGCTAATCGGGCAGGTGCCAACGCGGAACCAAGGGTTTGAGCCAAGCACGGCTGTTCGACCCATCTATGCTTGTGTGCTCACATCTCTGACTCTGCTGCTAGTCCCAAACCCCATGCTGAATGTTCAACTCCAAGCACCCTGGTTCGATGGAAATTGCACCACTGCTCTGCCACCGCAAGGATGGCATTCTTTTTTTTTTCGCGCGGCAGTCTTGCAGGCCGTCCTCGCAAGTGCCAAAAAAACCATCTGAGACTCTGGGAATGCAGGATACTGTCGACACGTCTGAATCTACGCCTAGAGTTACAGTACTGTTCCATGTTGACATCTTGCATCGAAACTCGTCTGGTACAGTGCTGTGTTACATCTCTTAAAGTTCGACAACAATATGAAACACAGCCCCTAGAACAGAACGCATATGTACAGATTCTTTACACATTCTCAAAATTTCTCAAAGGCATTCAGCTGCACTAAATGCGATCTAGACCCATTAATATAAAATCATCCATCTCTCTCTGTCGGACGTGACTGCCCGCAGCCCCCCACAAGGCCACCCCAAGAAAAAACGCAATGCTTAAACATGCTTAAACAACATCACTGCATATCACCGCCTCAAATGACTTGCTGGGGACGGTCTTTCTACTTCTGAGCTAAGGAGAATGCGGCTCTTCCAGCGGAGGTCAAGCAGGAATGGGGTCAGTCTGCATGACATGGATATGTCGCGTCACTATGTATTGTGTGGCACTATGATAAACACTCGCAGCTCATGCGCAATGCCTGTGCAACTGAGTTTGCCCTTGGCGTGATGTCAGACCTCAATGCAACATGTATCAATTCTACATACATTACATACATTACATACATTACATACATTACATACATTACATACATTACATACAGTACATACATTACATACATTACATACATTACATACATTACATACATTACATACATTACATACATTACATACATTACATACATTACATACATTGCATACATTACATACATTACATACATACAGCCATACATACATACAGACATACATTACATACATTACATACATTACATACATTACATACATTACATACATTACATACATTACATACATTACATACATACATACATACATACATTAATTACATTACATTACATTACATACATTGCATTACATTACATTACATTACATACATACATACATACACACACATACATACATACATACACACATACATACATACACACATACATACATACATACATACATTACATACATTACATACATACATACATACATACATACAAACATTACACACATTACATACATACATACATACATACATACATACATACAGACAGACATACATACACATACATACATACATACATACATACATACATACATACATTACACACATTACATACATACATACATACATACATACATACATACTTACATTACATTGCATTGCATTGCATTACGTTACGTTACATTACACTACATTACATTACACTACATTACACTACATACATACATTACATACATTACATACATTACATACATTACATTACATTACATTAAATTACATTACATTACATACATTACATTACATTACATTACATTACATTACGTTGCATTACATTAAACTACATTAATACATACATCCATCCATCCATGCATGCATGCAGGCATACATACATGCATACATGCGTACATTACATACATACATACATGCATGCTTGCATGCATGCATACATACATTCATACATACATACCATACATACATACATACATTACATTACGTTACGTTACACTACACTACACTAAGACTTACACTACACTACACTACACTACATTACATTACATACATACATACATACACACATACATACAAACATACATACATACATACATAACATGCATGCATGCATACGTACATACAGACATACATACATGCATGCATGCATACATATTCACACATGCCTCATGGATATGTTTATTGATTTCTGTCAATGCGTGTCCACACCATATTTTACCTGCTGGAATCGAACATAATGGAATAGAAAAGAAGCGTGGCTTGTGAATGCTTGTGATATGCTCTGATGCTTAATTATCCATGTTCTGTGCCTCCTTTTTACGTTGGCGCTCTGCTTTGAGGCACCATGACTCTTGGCCTTGATTTGTTCCGGTTCTGGTTCAGCCAAGAGTTGGAGATGCCTTCCTTGTGGTACCTATCTTGTTGCTCAATGAAGGAAATCATTGTTTGCTCTGGGCATCTCTGGGCTCTGCTTTCGTCCACGCTTGGAGATTCAAAGCTGCGACGTTCAGAGGTGTTTCGAGCGGGTTATGAGGCCAAGCGTCGAGTTCCAAGCCCCTCCGCCAATCTTGGCTCTTGTTTCCAGAAAGGATGAGAACCAAATGTACGTGAGTAGGCTCGAACCTAGTAGGGACTTCTTGCGCGTTGCAAATGCTCCTATGGCTTTAACCAGATTGAACCGCACTGCCCAGCACCTACGTGTTGGATAATATTTGGATAATGATGTGCTTAATTCCTCTGATAGTAATTTCTGATGCGGTTCATGCCCAAGGTGCCTAGCAACGCTGCTGTATGCTTTGCTGGCAACTCGGAAAGCTTTTGGCATTAAACATTTCGTGGCGGAGTCGGCTCTAGAAGGATCCTGTCATCCTGGCATGTTTATGTATGTATAAACTTGTCATGTGATACTGGCCGGTTCAATGACGGCTCATGCAAATATCATGCAATGCTTGCGCTTTATCTGCTTTCACTATCTCTCACTGCCCCACACTCTGCCTCTGCACCAAATGCCTGCTTTGGGGGTAGCTGGTGGGTCAGGCGGTGACGCAGCCGCAGCCATGGTGAGGCATGCAGTACACATGACCAGGCGCAAAAGCGATGTTGTAGGTTCGTGCGGCCAAATTGAGAATTGAGCATACTGATCCGCAGTGCGGTGTCGGACGTGCCCGGGAGGGGATGCATCTCACGAATCAAAGCCTGCTGACCCTCCGCAGCTGTGTAGGCATTGGAAGCGCTTAGAGCCACCATAAGACGCAGCTGGCCACAGGTTCGAGCAGACCCCACTATGTACCGTATTTTGCTGCTCTCTTGCTCAAAAGGAAGCTCTGTGTTTGTGTGTGTGCCATCTGAATAGATGTAAAACTTCTTATTGCTGCAGGGGCGTGTGGCACTCATGTCCTACCACTACCACACGCAATGAAACAGTGGACACGAGTGGGAAGGGAAACGTGGCCGGTTTCCTGTACCTGCAGCTATATAAATTTAAGTCGCAGCTGGGGGGGACCTATATTTTATCGCTGGTGGTTTCTACCGTCATTGTCTCATGTGATTATACTTCTTTTTAAATAAATAAATAAGTAAATAGATAGATAGATAGATATATTTATATATATATATGTGTGTGTATGTATATTCATCCTGTCATTTCTTTGTTGGTGTTTTTGCACGTAAGACGCATTCCATATCAGAATTCGCTACGACAGTTCTGAGCAAGTGTGTGACTCATGCCGGTTCGTCAAGGTGGCATGAACCCTTCGGGGAATACCATGGAATACCTGTCTAGGTAGGATGTCTGAGCCTTCGACCTGATCACTGAATTAACAATTTTCTACTTGGTAATTCGTTTGAGTAAAGTGAGGCAGACGGGCTTTTTCCACCTCTTCACCCATTGGTCGAATGAGTGTTGAAACAGCTTGCCGCCGGGATTGGCCTCACCTTTTTGCCTGAACCTCAAGGGTTGGTAGACGTCAGCTGCAACAACCTTCTGTTTTCATCGTTGCTCGAGAGACATTTCAGCAGGCCAGAATGCATTCCTCATGAATATCCAGGCATCGGGACATGCTTTGGTACGGTTCAATTGCGCACCAATTCGACGAGGGTCGAATGCTTAAGCCGTCCAAGGGTTGAAACGACCACCGAGGGCCTTGAGCCTTATCACGACACTTTGCATTAGTTTTGTGGTTGCATCAATCTCTCTAACTATAGTTCGCCATGGGCCCCCTATTTCATGTGTTCTCCCGTGTTGGGTGAGGTTGGGGTCCTTCGCGTGCCGAGGTAGGTTTGGCTCTCGCCTTGTAGGTTGTGTCAGGCGCTTCTGCCCCCCCCTCTGGTCGGTTTTTGGTCCGTCGTCCTTCCGCCTTTTCTTTTCCCTTGCCCTTCCAGGGTTCGCCCGTTTTGGGCTAGGTGTGTGGTGTTGGTGTTTTCTCCTTTCTTCTTTCTTCTTTTGCGTTCCCCGTCTCGTGTCCCGCTTATGTAAGGTGTCACCTCATGTTCACTGTCATGTCATTTTCATTTCCATTTCACCTACCCTGCTGCGGCAGGGGGTGTGTGTGTGTGAAACGTCTGAACAGACGAAAAATTTCGCTCGTCGTTCATGATATTACATATTATATATTGTATTATACTTTAAAGCAGGGGGTCACCGGGGTCCCGGGGGGGTCGGTGACCAATGAAGACACCTCCCCGGGACCCGTGAAAACGCACCTGCGGGACTGTGGTGACGCACCTGGGCGCATATAAGCCACAGCTGGTGGCCACCATAGGTGTGTGTGTGTGTAACTAATCTAGGTGCATGGGGGACTCGGTTCCCGACGGATCTCTTAAAAGATCCACTCTTGTCTAGTGTGATTTACATGGTGGCTCCGACATGGTTCCATGGAGCCAATTGTGGCAGCCCTTCTTATAGGGTGACTGAGGACGAACCTGACGTCGGAATTTACACATTTTAAGTTGGTAATTCATCTAAAGTGAAACAGACAGCCTTTCGATTATGCACCATTTTGCGAAGTCCCGCTGTTCCTGTGGTCCCTTGCGAACATTTCAAACCGGCAATTCTGCTCAGCTGCAACCATTCTGAACAGCCTGAAACCTTTTTCTTTTCATCAGCGCAGCTTTTGCAGAACGGCGCAACATATATGACAGCAGGCACCAGGCATGTCCTTTTCCTGCAGGTTTGGTCACTTTGGTTTCTGGCGAGGTTGAACATATTGTGCACTTAATTCGTTGGAACTTGAACAGCTGTTTATGCCCATGTGGCTTGACTTGACCACGGTCCCGGTTGGGAGTAACGCACGACTCTTTAGGTATGAACGGAGCCCCCTTTAATTCTTGTTGTTTTTTCAATTCACCAACTAGTCCCCCATTCCCAATAGACCAGGTTAGACGATTTTTTTTTATCTATAACCTAAAATTTTAATAAAATTTTATCGTTTTAAGAAAATAGTCTAATTCGACAATTTTTTAAAACTATTTTTTTATCGTTCGACGATAAAATTTTAACTTTTCAACGGATATTTTTCGACAAAAAAAACTGTATACGATAAAAAATAGTCGAAAAAATAGTCGAATTCGACTATTTGTTTATCGTAGGCACCGTTTCGAAAGTAGAAGTTTCCATTAAACTTCTGGTAAACTTCCACCTTTTTTGTGGAAGTTTTGTGGAAGTGACACTTAAAAAGTGAAAGTTTCCACTTTTCTACCCTTAAAAAAGTGGAAGTTTGGTAGCAGTTTAAGTGGAAGTTTCGTTCGGTTATAGATAAACAATAGTCTAAAAAATAACCGTACGATAAAAAAAAACAGTCGAAAAATAGCCGTAAAAAAATAACCGCACGATAAAAAAAATAGTCGATTTTTTTTTATCTTACAGATTTCAGATGATTTTAGATAAAAGACTATTTTTAAACTTTAATCTAAAGATAAAAAATAGTCTAACCTAGTCTATTGGGATTTGGTCCCCTATTTCATGCGTTCCTCCCTCCCTAGGTAGGTCGGGTCCTGCGCGTGCCGAGGTAGGCGTAGGTTTTCGCCGTGTCAGGTTGGTTCAGGCGCTTCCGTCATCCCCCCCCCTCCGCTGGTCTTGTTCCGTGTCCGTCGGCCTCCGGTTTTTTCCCTTGCCAATCAGGGTTTGCCCGCTCCGGGCCAGGTGTGTTGGTGTGTGTTTGCTTCTTCCCTCTTCTTTTGCGTTCCCCTCCTCGGGTCCCGGTTAAGTATGGTTAAGTAATCTTTCATCTCATCTTCGCTTTCATCTCATCATCATCCCCCTTACCATCCTCATTTTCACCTCCTGTGCCTGGACACTGGACACCACCCTGCCAAAGGCAGGGTGTGTGTGTGTGTGAAAATTCTGAACAGACGAAAAACTTCGCTCGTCGTTCATGATATTATATATTATATATTATATTATACTTTAAAGCAGGGGGTCACCGGGGTCCCGGGGGGGTCGGTGACCAATGAAGACACCTCCCCGGGACCCGTGAAAACGTACCTGCGGGACTGTGGTGACGCACCTGGGCGCATATAAGCCGCAGCTGGTGGTGACCATAGTCCCAATAGTCCCATATATATACAGTATATATATATTTATATATATGTAACTAATCTAGGTGCATGTTAGGGGACTCAGTTCCCAACGGATCTCTTAAAAGATCCACTCTTGTCTAGTGTGTGTGTGTGTGTGTGTGTCTGTGTGTGCCATCTGAATAGATGTAAAACTTCTTATTACTGCAGCGGCATGTGGCACTCATGTCCTACCACACGCAATATAAATTTAAGTCGCAGCTGGGGGGGCCTATATTTTATCGCTGTTGGTTTATACCGTCATTGTCTCATGTGATTATACTTCTTTTTAAATAAATAAATAAATAAATAAATAAACATAAATATAAATATATGTGTCATGTCATTTCTTTGTTGGTGTTTTTGCACGTAAGATGCATTCCACATCAGAATTCGCTATGACAGTTCTGAGCAAGCAAGTGTGTGTGTGTGAGTGTGCGATTGGTATCAATGCAAAGCGTCATAATTATCTACAGTACCTGTGTTCATACCTCCACCCAACACTCACTGTGGAGCTATTTGTCTGCAGCTGATCTACAGCTTAAACATGCTAAAGAGAAATCACCGTCAAACAGCCTGCAAACAAATGTTGCGCTTCGCTGCGCTCAAGTCAGGAGAGAACCCCTGGGAGCCAGGCCCCTCACTGCCGAGGAATGGAGGGGGTACAACCAAGAAGTCTTCGTGTGATTGGCGGCTCCTTCCCTCCACCTTCGCTTTCTGAAATGCATTATCTATCTGAATCTATCTAATCTCTGGAGTGGATCGGCCATTTGCCTTCTCCAGGGCGTGTCTCAATCTTGTTTCCTCTAAAGGCTACAAACTTGCAGAACAATGGAGAACAAACTACTCATGGCGTGTCCTGTAGGTAGGTAGTAGGTACGCGTGAAATCTTCAGGGAGACGCAAGACTTTTTACCACCTTTCCAGCCATGCTCCATATTTACCTTTCAGGATTTCAAACTGCCCCAGTGTATTCATCATGCACAGTATCCACATGTTGCTTCCCACCTTCTGGTTCTCTTTGGAAGGATGCCCACACCATCGCCGCAGCTCACAACCACCAAGTACGCAAAATAAGGGGCTTGTCCCACTGGACCTGCGGCATCAAGTCATCTCAAGGGAAGCTGGTCCATGCCAGCACCGAACTCATTTCAAAAGGGTAGATGAACACACTAGTAACATCTAGTAATCTAGTATATAACTGCAGTCAAGAGATGTCAAAAAGCTTTAATTATAAGCAATCAACTGGCGATCAACTGGCAAGCGTGCTGGGTTTGCTAGGTGTAGGTTCCTCCGATGCCACGATGACCTCCTGCCTTCCCCTCCTTTTGCCACATTGCGGCAGCCAGCTCGCCCCTGAAACTCTGAGATGAGCGCCTGAGATGCTGGGCAGCTGAAACAGGAATGCGAAGTAAAGACAAGAGAACCGGAGTAAAGATTCAAAACAACGACGAGTACCTCAAGAAATGTTTAGGATTTTGGCCAAAATCCACAAATTCTAGCAACAGTACCTCAAACAGCTGAAAGGAGCTGTAACCACAGGCGCCCAAGGCGATTAAATTCAAGTCCAACTTCGGCGCAAGCACCTTCAACTCTGAATCTCCTGAAATCATGTTCAATTTCGGATACTATTCAATACTATTTGCGGGGCGCGCAGCAATCCATGGCTCCTATGGCCAAACGTCTGGCGCCAACAGAAGGAACGGCACGCTTCAGCAATAGCCGTCATCTTCTTTACACACTGTAAGAACAATCTGAGGAAAAAAGGGGCCAGACATGATCAGAAAATGTCAGAAGCCTGCAGTTAAACGTGTCTGAACACCTCTGCAGAACATGAGTTCATATGAGTTCCAGTATGCGACCCCCAAATACACTTCAAGAAGTCCCAGGAGTCCCAGGAGTCCCAGGTGCTGCTTCCATCATCTGCACCAAGCCAGGCTCTTCGGTAACATGCAGCAGGTGCATCTTTTGATAACCCTCCCGCTCGTAGGCTCTCCATCGCAGGAAAGGAGTGCAAGTAATGCCAATTTTGAAGACTACCGGTGCCTTGGCGCATGACTTGCTCATGGCTTGTGTATTTGGAAGCCTCTCACTCGAGATTATGACGCCAAAAAGCAACAATTGCTTTACTTCGTGTGATCCCCACCATGACATTTATACATTTTGTTACTGGCAAATCTTCTGGAGTCTTCTGGCATTCTATCTGACATGCTATCTGGCGTTCTATCTGGCATATCTTCTGGCATTCTATCTGACATATCTTCTGGCATTCTATCTGGCATATCTTCTGGCATTCTACCTGGCATATCCTCTGGCATATGTTCTGGCATATCTTCTGGCATATTATCTGGCAAATCTTCTGGCATTCTATCTGGCAAACATTCTGGCACTTTATCTGGCATATCTTCTGGCATTCTATCTGACATTCTATCTGGCATATCTTCTGGCATTCTATCTGGCCGTTGAGGTCCAGCGGTGCGCACTGAGCTGGGGAGGTCCCAGGTTGAGGTCCAGCGGCGCACACTGAGCTGGGAAGGTCCCAGGTTGAGGTCCAGCGGTGCGCACTGAGCTGGGAAGGTCACAGGTTGAGGTCCAGCGGCGCGCACTGAGCTGGAAAGGTCCCAGGTTGCGGTCCAGCGGTGCGCACTGAGCTGGGAACGTCCGAGGTTGAGGTCCAGCGGTGCGCACTGAGCTGGGAAGTTGGCGAAGAGCTTGGCGACGAGTTGGCAAGGCGGAAGTGGAGGTGGAAGTTGATGCAGACATGGTCGAGGAGAAACTGGAGGAGGAGGCGAGGAGGAGGACGACGAGGAAGAGGACAGCTAGTCGAGGAGGAGGAGGAGGAGGAGGCGGGCAAGAGCTCTGATAAAATCTAACAACCCTCACCTGGCAGGTGGGGAAATACATTGCCAAGAGGGATTCAACATCATTGAACTGATCATTCAACATTTGCAAAAAATTGATCGTATTTTTTTCAATGGCACCAACGAATCCAAGATCTGCGACACCACTTGCTTCGCACGGTGAAGCGCTGCACCTGCCAATGCTCCACTTTTTCCTTGCGGCGGCGGCGGAAGCCGTGCTGCTGAGACTGCCGGATCTCCCAAAAGTTCCGCTGGAAGTGCGCTGTGCCTTCCACAAAGAAATGAGTCAAGCAACTGTCAAGTATACGCCGAAAACATCGGAAAACGTCTTTTCAGGGTGTCTGTAATGCCTTGTTGCCTGTGCGCTGCATTTACCTTTTGGATCTTTTTGGCGTAATATCTTTGAATAATTCATAATCACTTCAAAGTGAATCGTATATTGACAAGGAAAAAGAGTGCGCCTCCTGCAGTTGAAAGACTGGACTGGGAAAACTCAGCAGTTGAAACAGGTCGAATTTGGACGAATGACACAACTCATGGTCCCCATTTGGTACAAGCGACAATTCGCCATCAAGGGGCACGCAGCAAAGACCAGTCAAATCGGCACCCACCGCATGGCTGAATTCACTTAGTAGTTGGGCTGCAGCTGCAGGACCAGCCCGTGTAATTCCCTTACGTCGAAGGGCACACAAAGCCTTAGTGAAACGAAATAGTGTGAAATAATGTGTATATATATAATATTATATAATTGTATGTACTGTAAGTGCATACTAATGAGGTGTAGGGATGTGTAGGGTATATATATATATATACATATATACACCGGTCTTTGTTGAATTTTGAGGCACCATAGGAGTCGGTACGTGCAGGTGGATTGTGACACAATTTGGTTGTGGCACTTTGTGGCACGTTGTGGCATTTCTGAGCTTGGAACAGTTTCCAGGGCGGCATTCATGGCAGTTTCTTCCTCCATGCTGAGGCGGCTGATTTTCATCGCGCCACCCATGTCGCTTCTGTCGTCCTCGTTCATCGGTGTCTGCAAGAACCAAATTGCGTGCCAACGCGCGTTTGGTGTTCTCAACAGGCTGTGCCGCACGGGTTTAGCAACTTGTTCATGAGGCGGATCCTGTTGTTCTCCGCAAACCCTCGCATGATGTGTCTTGGGGTTTGTCTCCCCTGTCACTCGATTCTTCTTGGCAGCTGGTGCTTGCACACTGCATGCATTATCAGGCTTCTTCGCCTCAACCGTATGACTCAAATCAGGCGGTGTGTCCAGCAATTCATGGATAATCCGGCTGGTACGCGATTTACGCCGAGGAGACTCGCTGAACATCAACTGCTCCAGAGGGCGTGACACGCTTCCCATTACCCATTGACATGCGGAACTTGCCTCAGATGGTCTTCATCCAAGGTGGTTCCAATCATCGCTAACAACATCTAACATCATCTAACAACCTTGATCAACCTTGATTCTTGATCAATCAAGCAAAAGCATCATGTAAGTGTAAAGCTCACAAAATAGCACAACTGCGGTCAAAAGGCATCCTGTGGCATCTCCTCACACGTCAACTGAGCCTCCTTGTCAGTGCCAAGGGTGTGCTTAGTATTCTGTGACTTCTTATGAACGCTTCATCAGCACGATAATAATGCAAAAATGCGCAGAATAAAGGCATGAATGAAGCATTTGGTGCATCTATTAAGGGATTTAAGGGCACAGTTGAGCACAGGCATGGAACCTGGGAAACGACTTATGCAACAGATGCAGCATCTCCTTCCAAATTAACAATTGTCAGATCTAAGTACTTGACCTAGAGGAGGATGGCCAAGCTAAACGAAGATATCGCACTTCCCTCACTGCATGATAAGCATATTATGAGCATGTCAGAAAACAATGCGGGCGCAACGCAGTACGTTGACCTGCGCCCCGTTGAACGAAATAAATCGAAATGAATCAAAATGAACCCTTTTACTTTTTTAGGCTCTTTCAGAAACTCTTTCGTAAATTCCTTGGGTGTCTGCTGCCGGAACTCATTCTGAAGCTGCTCAGCCGCAGCCCGGTGCGCCGAGGCAGCAGCAAAGGACTCGGGATGGGGCTGCGGCTGCGAGTGCGGCTGGTCCGGCTGAGGCTGCAGCCCCTTGGCAAATCAGCAATCATGATATATCACTATGACATAAGAACTGAAAATGGGAACTGTTCACCAACCTCTCAGTTTGAAAATGGGCGACTTGTGGAATTGGGACTTGGGGTGATTTGGCATCCTACAACCTATGTCCAGTATCGAAAGTACCGCCACAACATTCGGTCAAAAGTGCTGTGATTAGTTGTGATTGGGTTGCGGAGTTGCGGACCCAGGGTCCCAGGGTCCACAAAAAAGGACCAACAGGGAAGACAATAGTAAACTCCGAGGTTGGCTTAGACTTTCCTAGCTTGCAGTTTTGAATTTCATTATCTCCAGAACCTGCTCTTGCTGCTGCCTATATATATATGTATATATATATAATGTTCGCAAATTCGTCCAAATGCTGTTACGCTGCAGTCTTCACTTCCTCGCTCCCCTTTAATACTTTGGGATCTTCTTGCACCTGCAAATGGAGCTCGTTGAGTGAATATATAGACTTGGCTGCGGTGTTAGGTCTAACCAGTCCGACTTGCAAGACAAGACAACGATGTAATTATAATGTAATAGCATCAAATATCCTGTCATGTCAACATAGTGTAAGGAGATGGCAAAATATTGTAAAGAGTGTTAACGAAAGTTGATCTTCGGTGATCTTCCTCATCTTCCTCTCTAAAGAATCTCTCCATGTCCGCCCGTGTCCGCCCACCTGGAGCAAAAGCAGCAAATCATCCTCTCCGTTTCCAGCGTGCTTTGTCGATTTCGTCGCTGGCGAATGCTGGGAAGGTGAAAATTGCTGGGAGCGGGAGTGGATGGAACGGGATCTCGGTGAAGGCGTCGCAGGACCGTCAGAATCAATTTCCGTGGCCACAGGGCTTGCAGGCGTCCGCGGCGCTGCAGTCACTGCCACATGCCTGCTGCAGTTGCTGCTGGGCCTGCTAGGTGTTGGGCGGTCGCTCAAAGTGGGCCGCTCTGGACTGCAAACCTTGGCAGGAAAGTCTGCGATCTGGCGGGTAGATGGTGAACAAGTATGAGCGAGTCTCATGAAGAAAAAAAGGTTGAAAACAAGAGAGCGCAGAAAGCACGCACAAAACTTGACGAAGAAAACAGCCCCCAGAGCCTGCTGAAGTTGCCCAAGGAATCGGATCCAATACAGAAAGCATGTTGAAGATACAATTCAACAAGGCACGCAAAAACTCAAAGACAAAACCTTGCAATAATCAACCGAGGTAACAATCAGAGTCTCTGTAAGGCTGCTGTTGCTGCTGCTGACAGTTGCAACCTCCTCTTCAGGAGTGTGAAACCTTGTCACTGTGAGTCCCTTTGCGCCTTACCCCTGCTACCACGGTCTATCTGGATAAATAATTTACCTTGGCCCATCTGCCCATCTTCATTGCAGATTCTAAACGCTGTACAGTGCGAAGTTCAAGCAACTAAAGCCCGTCACCTAGAAGCCCGAAAGCGAGCGATCTCACCTCACTGCTCCCTCTCACTGCTCCCTCTCTCTCTCCCTCTCTCTCTCCCTCTCTCTCTCTCTCTCTCTCCCTCTCTCTCTCCCTCTCTCTCTCTCTCTCTCTCTCTCTCGCTCTCGCGCTCTCGCACTCCAAGTAACAACATAGATTTGACTGAAACTCGTTGGGCACATATTTCTAAGACACCACCCTGGTGACAAGCCTGCTTTCACCCAGCTCTGGCACTTTCTACATTTTTTCCTTATCTCTACTTCTGGGTCCTGAAGGCTAACCATGGCTCCATGGCTGAAGAGCTCAAGCGAATCGCACTGAAATGTGAAGGAAACAAATGAGCTGCGTCACTTTAAATTCCTGCATTCGATCTTCTTCAATCTTCTTCATAGCTGTTTTGATAAACGTACCTGATTACAACATGAACATGGCGACCATGGCCGTTCAGAATTTTATAACTTCCATTTGCATTTGGTCGCTGACTGTGTTTGGAGTATAGGATCTAGTCCAGTTCAAAAGACATGCGCAGAATTGATCAAAACTGATCAAAACTGCACAAAATGAAGCACATTGTCAGCATTGACATGCAACAATCCAAAAAGAGAGAGAGAGAGTGTGTGTGTACCGAAGAGTTCTTGTTCTGATGATATTGCTTGATATTGTCCGCGCCTACTGTGCTCCTGGTCTGGCTTTCAACCACAGTATTGACCAAATCAAACTCTGATCACCATCTTTCAAAATATGGAACTTCTATGGATTTCTGGTTGGCCATTGTGGCTCATTCCCGCTGCTGCGAGCAGGCTTGAGCAGGAACTGTGCGTTAAGGGTCCGCCATCTCTTTGGTTGAAGCAAAATGAGCAAATGGTTAGACGCTGCAATCTTCCATGTTCAAGCCCGTTAGAGCCTAAGTAAGCACTGCATTCAAAACCAAGGGGCTCTGATAAATTGATTACGTTGTTCCACGGAAGGCCCTTAAATTCTGTAATAAAGCCATGAATTGGCAAGGAGGAGCGCTAGGCTTTAGCAGAATGGCCTCGTGTCTGGGCAGCTTTTGGAACCGACTCTCGAAGCATTACGCTGACCCATGATTCAGGGCCTTCTGCGACCACAACTTCGGCCAACGCCTTGCAAACACCCGGGAAAACATTCGACGGCTCCGAATTTCACTCCTGTCTAGTTGTATTCTCTGTTGGATCTCCCCAGCCAGTGTTTGAACGCCCAGGACATCGCATAACATAGAAAACGCAGTTACATAACTAGCAAAGAAGCGAAGCAAAATGGCAATTGTACTTTATGGATCTTTGTGCCAAAACTCAAATGACATTAACCTTGCTGTGTGCTTTGTGTCTCTGCTGCATCGCTCAACGTGGCCTTCTCGGCGAAGGTGGTTGCTTGCTGTTGCAACTCTAAGTCTCCTTCCTGAGGTGTCACGATCCAAATAGCAAATCAGCAATCCGATGCCTTGTTTGTGCGTCTTAACAAGTAAGGTACGAGTACATGCAAGTGTATATGTATATACATATATATATCTCTCTCTCTGTGTACGTAGTATATGTATATGTATATGTATATATATATATATATGTGTTAAATATATATAAATAAATATATATATATACCATACATTGTGGAAGATATGGGAAAACAATAAAACAATGACGACTGCAGAAACAGCAGCCTGGCCATCCGGCCATGGCAGTTTGATCCGATATGATTCAATTTGCAGCTTAGAGTCAGATTGCCCAATGTCTCTGAGTAGCTGGGAGCCCATGTGATACGCATAGGCCTTGGCCGCAGCATTTCCTCCAAGCTCCTGAGGTACCGTCAGCTTCAGACATTCGAGGCTGTCTACATTGTGTAGGCTCCAATTGCTTGCTCAGGTGAAGAAACGACCAGCCATCTCAGCACATCATAAAGCAAACTCCTTTACAGTGCAAACTTGAATTCAAAGATTTGTCCTCATCGATATGCTCCTTGGCCAGCAGTGATCAGCATTATTTTTTCTCTCTTTCTCTCTCTCTCTCTCCCCTAAATAATAAATCGCAATAAATCGCAATAAATCCATCCCACCCATCAGTGAGAGGAACTCTTGTTTGTTGCTGTGTGCATGAGTGGAGCGATAGCAGGTGCATGTGCAAATACCTGCATATGTACAAACATATTTGTCTATATCATTCTATATCTATATCTAAATCTATATCTATAAATATATATGTATCCATATCTATCTACACAATTCTACACACACATGCATATATACATATATTATATTATATTAAATTAACTTATATTATATATTATATTATATATTATATTATATATTATATTATATATTATATTATATATTAAATTATATATTATATTATATATTATATTATATATTAAATTATATATTATATTATATATTATATTATATATTATATTATATATTAAATTATATATTATATTATATATTATATTATATATTATATTATATTATATATATATATTATATTATATATTATATGATATATTATATTAAAATTTATTATATATACTATTAAATATTCTGTTATATTATACTATATTATATTATATTATATTATATTATATATTGTATAATATATTATATCATATTGTATTATATTATATTATATTAATTATATATTATATATCATATTATATTATATCATATTCTATTATGTTACGTCAAATTATATTATATTATACTGCATACAATTCAAGCCCTGGGAGGAAAGGAACACTACATGTGAAATGAATGTACTCTGGTACAAGCCGTTGGCCCTCTTAATCCAGTTGACTGCCTATGCCAAACAATGAATACACTCAAGGCTTGATAGATTCATAGGTACCCGGCCATGAACAAACAAGATTGCTACAAGATGTCAGAATATGGCAGCAATCAAACGAGTTCAGTAGAGAATAGGAAAGTCAGACTGACAAAATGAGATGAGATGTACGAGATATAGATTGTATTAAATACATACGACGTGTGAAGACAAAGCACGACCTGTTAAGACACATGGATGGATGGATGCCAAAGGAGAAATAAAACAAACATAGGCATAGACTGATAAAATGGAACCATTTGAGTGCGCGTGGAGCAACGTTTGATAAACCTGTGCAAAATGGGTTTATCACGCACAGGAGCAACATGGTGGCAACGTCATAGAATAGACGTTACAGTTTCCCCGCTGTTCCCCTCAAGGAGTGAGGCTTGTCAAAGTCAGAGTTTGAAAGGAGTTCAAGGTATGACCCTCTCTGCTCCTGCAACTTTCTGACTGTACAAGGCATTGACTGAAAAAACTTGCTTCACTCGCATAAGTACTATATAAATCTCTCTCTCTCTCTGTACATATATATATATTATGTGTGTAAAATTGTAAGCTTAGCAACGAATCCTACCATCTGGGTACTTCCGAAGAGGAGTTGAAATCGCAGTTTTCTATCCATGTAGTTCCTGGGTGATCAACATCTTGGGACGACCGAGTTGCAGCAATCTTCTCCAGCACCCGTGGTCCCAAACGTTGTGGCACCGCACTGGGAAGTGCAGAGCGCAAATCTTGCAGTCGCTGACGCACTTTGTTGCTGCGGAGTAGGGCCTTCCATGTGAAGTAGAAACAGGAGCGTACACAGCGAAACGGTTCTGCTTTAATGTAGAAGATCTTGAACGCATTCCCAGACACATTCAGATTATTCAGTACATCTTCAGTGCAGCTACCAACTCAGTTGATGTAGTCTTGAAACCCTAACGATCTTTGGCTTCAAGGTCTACAATGAGCGGGCCTGCCCTGTCTGCAAACACGTTGGGCAAGCACACTTGAAGTTGAAAGTCCTGGCTGGAAAAAATGGAAAACACTCTGCGTGAGAGCTTCGTGTCGTCAAGCTGAGTCAAGCTGGTGTCATGGCTGTGCCTCTCGATATGATCCCCTCTTCACATCAAGATCTCTGAGTCCATTTTTGAAAGAAAACGATATCAACGAATTGCGAGAACTGAGAACTGCTCCAGCTGCATGCCGAGCATTGCCAAGTTCCTGCGTAATGCATCTTGCCGCTCCTGCCTGGTCATGAAGAGATCCTGAGCTAAAACTGACTCGCGGATCGAAACTCAAGAAACATGTCTAATTACCGCAAAAATTACGCTCGGATATTATATAAACATAGCATTGCAACCTCCACTGTACCTGACTGCCGGCCCAGTCCAACCCAAACCCACTCTTTGCAAAATGCAGCACCCAAAAAAGTAGTCAAACAAAGTCAAAGATCAAAGTGACAAAAGATGACACATGTGTTTGCACATGTCTTGACGAAATCAAAACTAAGAGCGGCGAAGTCTTGAAAATTGCTGAGCAGGCTCGATGTATGTTATGCAAAGTTCTTCTCCCTTTGCCACATCACGGATGGCATGCAGCACTTCACCGTATTCTTCTTGATAGCTGTTATTGACCTGCAAGCTGGAAGAGGAATGGTCACCCATATATAGAATCTATATAGAAATAGTGTGCAATCAAAGTGCGGGTACGCGGTCCAGGCGGGCCACGCTGTTACGCAATTGAATGGGACGCAGCTAGCCATAAAACATGACAAGAAACCCAAAGAAACAAAGGGCCCTGCGCACTGCGGACTTATGCGGATTTCCTGTAAATGTGCTCCTCTATTGCAAGCTTAATTCCCTACCTGCTGTCGCGGCTTCTGAGCCTCATGCTACAATGGGAATTCTTTTTATCATTACCGTAAACGCGTATGATTGTTGTCCGTGCTGAATGGGTGCTGTAGTGACAAACCGATGCTCTGCACCAGAATTGCCTGCAAACATGAGCTTGAACATTGTATATGCGCCAGATTGCGCCAGAATGCGTCTGTACCCAGAAGGCAGAGCCCAAACGAGACTGACTGAGGCATCGACGTTGTTGTTACAGCTATGGTTGAAGCGGGACACAGTAGGATAAACTCCAACCATGTCACCCTCCGCAGTCTCAACTGGCAATCCATTCGTCCGCACTATGCCCACAACCGACTTCTCGTCTGTATGGCAATCCTAGCAAGCGATTCACCAAATCATGCAGGCATGACGGCATAACTGTCTCCAAAAAACAAGCTACCAGAAGAGGCCACTGCAAGAATTCCAAGAGCAGCAAAAATCAGAAGTCATTGCAAAGTTGATATGGCCCTTGTCTGTTTTCCGACTTCCAGGGGCTGCAAGGATGTTTGAGGACCAAATGCATTTGCATAGAATAGCGGCAGGCACAAGGCAAGACACTGCCAAGTTCCAGAAGGATTGCCTTGGTTTGGCGAAGGAATAGCACGGTTTGTAAGATCCTGGAAGTACTCCAAACGTCTCCAAACATTCATGACTCCCGCCAGTTCACGATGTATTAAAACAATTTAAAACATGCAATGCTGCGATGGTCCAGGCACAAGTCATGCTCGGGCAGTTTTCTCAATGCAGCGTTGATCTCGTTTTCCCATGCATCAAGCTGTCTTGAATCCCTGAGGTGCGCAGGGACATCACGTCAGCGATATGCGGGGTTGCTTCTAGGTGATGCCAGTTGTAAGAAACTTTGGTCGTTCAGGATGCGGCTCAAACATGTTGTTTCAACAGATGGATCCTAACCCTCATTTTACAAAACCTCCGCACAATAGGTTTTTTCATAACCTGAAACATCAAAAAAAATATATATTAAAAAAAAACGGCGGCATCTTTGCGACCACGTGCTCGTGGAGGCGCGCTCTCTCTCTCTCTCTCTTTCTTCTCTCGTTTTTTTTTGTGTGCGTGTGCGTCTGTGGCATTGTGATTGTCTGCAAGGGTGACTTGTTGTGGTCCTTTGCCTTCTTTGTTTTTTTTATGCGTTTTGCCAATGTCCCCCTAAACAAGATGCTCTCTCGCTGTGACCTCCCTTTTTTAGTATTTCTCCACTTCCCGGAGGCTGCTCAATGACATTGCAAGCATGAATGGATGGATGGATGGATTGATTGATTCACTCCTTTTTTAATGACAGGTCGATCAGGCACTCGAAGATTCCACGGCAAAGTATGAAAAGAACAGCCTTGATAACATAAGCATCACCAAAGGGTAGCGGGACATTACAAATGTGCCCAGTACGTCCCAGTACCAAGTAGCCGTGAAGGCACCATAAACATTAGAATCATTAGAGCTGAGCCTTTTGAAGGACTATGACTATGGCCCATCACACTCCCAGAATGACTTGGTTCAGCAAGCTGCAACATCTCATCCAGCTGAGTCCTTCTCTCCATTCTTGTATCTCTCTCTCTCTCTCTCTCTTGCTGCTCTTCTGTTCTGATCTACTCTTGCTCCTTACCTCTCGTCTCTGGTCCAACTATAAATGTGCACATGTGTGTATATATATACATATATAGTTATTTATCGAAGGAAGTTTAGAAGTCAAACTTCCGACAATATGGACAGATGAAAAGCAGAGCAGGGAAGAGGCAGAGAGAAGAGAAAGATTAGAAGAGAAAGAGTCAGAAGAAAGAAGATGCAGATGCAACAAAAGGTAGGAAAGTCGCGAAACACTGTGTTTTTCCACTGATTTGAGGCTCCGGGGGGTCGAAAAGTAGGCTCGCTAAAGCGGCGGGTGCGGAGCCAGCTGGCCAGATGAGAGATGAAAAATTGCACGCGGTTGTGGCGCGAAGCACATTTCCAAGTCAAAATGTACAAAAGCACACCATGCTCGGACCACTTTTGGAAGTTCAGATGTCGAAAAAGTGCACGCCGTTGTGGCGCGAAGCACATTTCCAAGTCAAAATGTACAAAGCACAACAGGTTCGGACCACTTTTGGAGGTTCAGATGTCGGAAAAGTGCACACCGTTGTGGCGCGAAGCACATTTCCAAGTCAAAATGTACAAAGCACACCAGCTTCGGACCACTTTTGGAGGTTCAGATGTCGAAAAAGTGCACATGGTTGTGGCGCGAAGCACATTTCCAAGTCAAAATGTACAAAACACACCAGGTTCGGACCACTTTTGGCGAAAAAGTGCACGCCGTTGTGGCGCTAAGCACATTTCCAAGTCAAAATGCACAAAGCACACCATGTACGGACCATTTTTGGAGGTTCAGAAGTCGTCTCGCGTGGCAGGCGCAAGGGATTGTGGACCTTGTCAAAAGTGATCAAAACGTGAGAGTTTTGTCGCATTTTCAACTACAACTACCACTACACTACACTACACTCCAATACATTACACTACACTACACTACAATTACAACTACAACAACACTTCACTACATTCTACTACACTACACTCCACTACACTACACTGCATTCAATTACACTACACTACACTACATTACACTACACTACACTCCACTACACTACACTACATTACACTACACTACATTACACTACACTACCTTCCACTACACTACACTACACTACATTACACGACACTCCACTACACTACACTTCACCTACACCTACAACTACACTCCACTACACTAAATGACTACCTACATT